AAGACTGCCTTACTGAAAAAGTGGGACAAATGCATTAAAAAATACAAACTGTGTTCAGGTCGATGCAATAGTAAACGCAGAATACGTAGACCTCATAATTCTTTTGCAAATGCCATATATATAATGTCTCTAGCACTTTAAAATTATGCAGAGACGAGTTAACGATCACTCTAGATAAAAATACATATTTCTTTTAAGGGGATGGGGGACAAGACCAAACCTTCTTTTAAGGTACTATGCCAGGGCAGATCCCCATAGACATACAGAGATAAAACCATGGTATTTTTGGTAATTCTAGTGGATATGGCGGCAAAAATTCTGGTAAGGTCCTGACTAGCTTTGAGAGGGTTATTTTCAAATATAACCTTACAGATACATTTGTTAAAAAAAAAAAAAAACTATGAAATGTTCATTTTTATTAACCCTGTTAATATGACTATATTGACATTGCATTTGAAGATAAAAGTAGCAGAGTTCTGAATCAGTAAAGGGATATATATATATATATATATATATGCTCTAAAGCAAATATGAACCCTCTTCAGATTTCTCACACAAAGGGAATACACACTCTTAAATAAAATAATACTTCCTTAAAAATTTGCCACCTAACAATTGTTTACATCATAGAAAAATACTATTTTTGTAAAAAGAAATATACTTTGTTAAAATGGTCTATTTTAAACCAGCAATCATTTCTCATATAAAGACTTTCTAACCATCCATACAGAAAATTAAAATAGCTAATACTGAGTGCAAAGCAGACAATGGCATGTTTGCAAACAAAGTATTTCACTGCCAGATAAATAAGACTCTTAGATATTATAGTACAACTGTTCAGCTTTTGGGCAAAAGACATTGCTTTTATTCTCCGATGGAAGATGACTTATAGGTAAATTTACTCTGGCAGCTGCACATCAACTTGATTTGATTGGACCATACATATTCCTTCACATTTCCCCTAAACTCAAAGTGCTGAAACACAAGGCGGTGGTGCACGTTCCAAACTCCTTCACCCGAGTGTGGAGAGCAGGCCATGGAGATGCTAAGGAAACTGATGACATCCACAGGCCTTTCAAAATTATTCACTCCATTGTCCATGTTTAAGTTTTGCCATAGAACCAGGCTGGCACAAAATATTTACCAGCTGGCTTAACCCCATCCTTTGGGGCAGTCTGTGTGACTCTTCTACATCGGGGTTGCTCCTCGTGCTATAAAACCAGATGGTGTCAAGGGACTACAGCATTATTTCCACAAGGGACTCTGGAGGGATGATGAGATTCCTGGTGGCAGAGGCAAAGGGTGGAACAGTGCACTAGCGACCAGCACTTTCTGCCTCCCACACAGGCATGCCGGGCTGACAGACTCAAGACACTCCATGAGCCAGCAGTGGTCCACGCTTCTCAGACATCTCATCTGTCACACCCTCTCCACTCTGCTAGGGTCATAGGAATCTGCTTTTAAAAAGAGAGAAAGAAAAGAAAATTAGTGGTATTGTCACTGTTGTAACTCTCCAGCTATAAATAAATATGCTTAGGGAGCAAAATCACAAGTGTGCCAAAATTAATTTTTAGACATTTTAACAATCTTGTTTTCACTAAGGAGTAAAAAACTATCATCAAAAGACTGTTTTAAAGGAACATGAATGATCACTAAGTAATCACAGATGGAAAAATGCTGAGTTGCTTCTAATTTTGATGGTCCCTTCTTATTGTTCACAGTGCAACATAATTAATTGTAATGCAAAGTGTGTAAACCAGCAGTGGCATGCTTAGCTGACACTGAGGATTTCTGTGTTCATTTTTCTTAGTCTCATGAAAGCTTACTTTAGAAATGCACCTTTGTGGGCCCTCCCCAGGGGCACAAAGTGTTAAAGCCCAGCACTATGAAGCTGTCCACAGCCACTGCAGCACAAGTTCTATCCCCAGCCAGGGAGCTGACCCACATGATGCGGCAGACATCTCCTGAACTTTGCACTGCTCCCCTCAGCAGTGTATTTTGGTCAATCTGCCTGTTCCACTCCCCACTGTTTCTGGTGAATCCTCTCACCCCCCTCCCACTCTGGCATATACCCCAGTTCTTGTACACATAAATAAATAAATCTTTAAGGAAAAAAAAAAAAAAAAGACAGTATACCTTTGTGACCAAATGCTGTCCTCGCGGCTTGGCTGGCAGTAAGAGGACTCAGTCTCTGACCACCAGCCAGTAGGCTGGGCCAGGTGGAGACCCTGTTAATACAAGTCTTCCAGGTCTTTCCACGCACAGGTATGTAAGAACCTGGGTTGCCACACTCATGTCCATTCTACAGCCCACAGTGGGCCCAGACGACCTGGACCTCCCAAAAGTGACACGACCCGAAAAAATGATTGTCCCAGCTGCCATCAGCTCTACAGCTGGAGCAAACTAAATCTGATGACTTCAGGATTTATGGAATGCTAGGATTCAGGCAGCCCTGAAGCTATCTGTGTGCCTCCTATGGTTAGAATATCCTGCCCCAGAAACTCAAACGTTTTCTGACTCCTTAAGAGAAAATGCTGGACAAATGAAATCTGGAAGGAAGGTACAATTTGATAGTTATTTAAAAGCAATCTCTTCCCAATTCCTTCTAGACAGTTCAGCATGAGGGAGGATGCGTGAATCCCAATTTCCCTGGTGGCAACCTGTTTTCAGCTCTTCCCACCTTCTCAATTCAGCCATGATAAGTCGTGATGACACAGCAACTGTGCTGGCTAAGACAGAGTATAGAGCTCGCTGAGTTAGACGTGGTAAGATAGATGGGCGGTCTCTGCGCTAGGAGTCTGCTCCCCTCCAGCATCACTTACTGCCCCGTGTGCCCAGAATAAGTGAGGTCACACAAAGTCTGCTGCTTTCTGAAGTTTGCATCCGAACGACACTGATGTGACGACACAGGATACTAACAGCTGAGAACTATACCTGTGCTCACTGGCCTCACTGGGTGCTGATTCTAAGGGTCCTCCTGTGAGTAAAGATGTCTTTTTCTCCAGTGAGAATGAGAAGTGACTGTGGGGAACACTGAGGAAAGGGCATCCTCCTTTGCTGCTGAGACAGGAAGAGGCTGATTGTCTGCTAATCTTCAAATTCAGAGAGAGTATGCACTGGCCTGCTTACCAGGCACTTGGCAACACCACCACAGGATGTGACTGTACCCCAAAGTACCACGGTTGAAGCTCAGGGCCCAGAGGCAGGGAGCTATGGAAAGAATTCTGTAGAATGGGCTCTGCACTAGAGGGTCCCTCAAGGTTAGGTCACATCCAGAGGAATATAATGTGCCCCACAAAACATTTTACACTTTCTCCTAGCCACGTTAAAGCAAGTAAGAGAAAACATGTGAAATTAATTTTAATAATGGATTTTATTTTACCATTACATCCAAAATACTATCATTTCAAAAGGTGATGGATATAAAAAATGATTGTGCTTAGATTTTTTTTTTTTTTTTGTACTAAGTCTTTTGGCTCTGGTGTGTATTTTACATTTACAGGACATCTCGATTTGAAGGAGCCACGTTTGACAATGGCTACTATATTGGCCTACCCGCTCCTAGTAGAGGGGTTACCCTGGGTATTTAAATCCGGGTGTTTGTGGGCAATATTTCAAGTGAAGACACTCACTGTGACCCACTCTGGTGGGTATCTCACACAGGAAAAGGCTCTTTTGAGACTGTTCCCGACAACATGCCCAGCTCTCTAAGGGCTTATGTGGCATCATCAGACCTTCCCAGGCTGCTCCACTTGGGATCGTAATCATCTTCTGCCTCCTTCTATATTCATATTGAGAGAATATCCAACAGGTTGGTGGGACCAGAAAGTTCCACATATTTTCAATGCCTGGAATTGTACTTCTAAATTAGAACTTAACCCACTGGCGCTGGCACTGTCACCTGAATTAGTTTTGAGCTGCTGATTTCTTAAAACCCACAGGAAAATATTGCCGAAATGCCTTCTTTCATGTGAAATAAAGACACTTTGTGGAGTGTGAAGAGCAGGCGAGGACGGCCCCCACCACCACCAAACAAAGCCCAGCCTGACTGCATTCCTGCCTGAGCACCTAGGTCCCCCTGCAAGAGTAAGGCTGAAGGAGGCAGTGGGGCAAAGCCAAGGTGAAGGGCCAACCGAGAGACAGGCCACAAGGTCCTCTGCCCAATCTGCTCCTCCAAAGCCAGGGCCCAAACCGGAAAGGCTCCTGCGAGGAAGGGTGAGAAAGTACCCAAAGGGGAAAAGGGGCAAAGCAGATGCTGGCAGGGGCCGGAATAACCCTGCGGAAAAGGGCCTGCCCCGAGTGGGCACTGAAAGCTGAGGCGTGTGGATCCTGTGCTGGGAGTGCACTGTGGTGACTGTACGTCTGGTGACGACACAGTGAGAAATACGACTTCTTCAAGTTTTATAAAAATGTAGTATTTTTCCTTTACTTTTTTTTTAAAGCTTTGTTTTTAGCAGACAGAACATTTCATTGTTGTGTTTTGGGAAAGGGCAAATGTCACTAATAGAATGTCTGGATTGATGTAGGAGAGAAAGCTTTTTCTTCGAGTTCTGAGACTTCCTGGTTCCCAGGAGGAGGGACTCCATGACAGTGGCACCTTGACACAGGCATCATATAGCGGGAAACTAAAATTTGTTTTTATGTCCTCTTGTCCCTCTCTGCCTTTTGCACAGAGCTGATTCCCTTAGACCCTCTTCCTGTAGAAAGGTCCAGACCTGTGACCTGCCTACAAAAAATGTCCTGGCAATCTGGACTTTTAGTGTCACCGTTGAGATGTCAGCCCTCTAAAAACAGCAGTTCTATTTTTAGATTGTTGAGCTTCAGATTGATGTCTGCCATTTTCATTTTGTTACCTGGAAGTCAGAGTCAGCTTGTGAAAAGCTGTTAAATAATACGCTACATGTGAAATGTCAGTCCTTGCGCTGAACTTTCCCTGTTCAGAGCATCAGCTGAAGACTTCATTGGGTGGCTTTTTGATTTTGGTACCAAGTCCACCAAAGAGGAAAGCTTGAAAGTTGTATACTATCAATGACTGTCCATCTCTTGCTTGAAATAACATGATTGTTTATGAAAAGTATTTTTAATAAAACCGGATACAGTATGGCTTGGGGGGGAAAGGCACTTTATGATGCAATAAAAAAGTTCTAGAAAGGTATGTGCGTATGGTTAGGGGTAAGAAGAAAGTGTTTATATTCTACATTATATAACATTGCTTTAAAATTCCAAAAGAAAATCAGAATTTAAGTGGGCTGTGAATTCCAGAGCAATGAAGCATTTCCGGCACATTAGAGTGACAGGAACAGGGGTGGGGTGGAGATGGAGATGAGGATGTCTTGTGTTTAAAACGATAAAGAATATCAAAAGGAAAACAAAGTCCAAAAGTTAATAGCAGCAAAACTAGTATTTATTTTACTTCATGAAGCAACTGGAAAAGTTAATATGTCAGTAATTTTACTATCTTAATCGTATGACATATATTTCTCTCAAAATAACAGGCTTTGAATACTGAAAAACTGATAAGCACCACACAAAACGCTGGTGTTATGTGTGCAAGAAATGGTCTCCCCCCAACCCCACCCCTGCTAGCACCCTAAGTAGCTAAGGTAGCTGTCTACACACTTCTGATTTGGGGCCATTTTTTTTGTGCTTTAACAGATGAACCAAACAGAAAGGAGAAATAAGCAAAGTATCTACTTATTAGTAGTGATAACTGAAAAACAAGGTCATGTGGAAGGCATTTGTAATGGAAGCTAAACTTAAAATTGGCATTGTTTAGGTATTTCTAAATACCTGTGCAACCCCATTTAAAGACTAAAAACCCTACTCAAAAACTAAAAACTGAGTGCTCTACTAGCATTTTTGCTATAAATGTAACCTGAAAGATGTGGCTATAATGGAGACACAGAAATCTTCACAAACTGCTATTTTATTATAACAGGATGTGCCTTCTTTTGAAATCCTTGAAATTCTCAAGAAGAGCTAGGGCTGATAACATCCTCCTGGTTTACAATAAGTAACAATTTTCTTAAGGTAACACTTAAAAAGTGAGGGAGCATTTTTAAGAGGAGAGCAGGGAAGAGGGATCACAATGAAGCCTAATAAAATCCAACAGCTCAAAAATGGGTTATAATTCTTTTCCAACATAATAGTAAAAAGGCTTCCCATTCTCAGAATCCTCTCCAGAAAAAAAAACTTTGTCAATGCAGAGACTCTTAAGAGGATCCTGACAGGTGGATAACTTCTGCATTGCATTTTACATAAAGAACACAGTGCTACTGTGTAGGAAACATACAGAGTCTGTGGGAAATTTTTAGTTGCCAAGTAGATTATTTTAACAATTTTTGTATTCTTCTAGCTGAAACAGGAGATCTTTCCCATACATTTTCTAATCCAGGGATGTCAAAACAGAAAACAGAAAGGGGCACCCTGTTAGGGTTGCATGGTCTCAGAGCAGAACCTGGCTCCCCTGGCCAGACTGGTATCTTATCTGCCAGCAGCCCTGGGACATTCACCTCAAGGGGGCGCTATTTCCTCTTCCTGTAGAAAGGTCCAGCCTGAATGATTTAGGGTGACTTCTTAGCGGTTTATGATGTGGACCTCTTGAGACCTTTTATTTGAGAATAACTGATAATACCAGCCTTGTCTTGTCTGTGTCAAGAGCTGAGAAAGTGGAAATGTATTCAGGGAAAATCACTACTAATGTTATTGGAACTGCTTTGTGGATTCCTAAATCGAAAAGACTCTGAAATTAAGTTAGGGTGAGAAGACTGAGAGGAGCCAGAAGCCTGCAGGAGGCTACCTTCAAACTCTCTTCCCCCAGGACCAAGCAAACAAAACTCAGGAACCTTAAGAAACAGAGTTGTAGGTGAACTTTTTAAGGGTGAGGTGTTGATGAAGTTAATGCTGTCTAAACCTTCTAAAGCTTCATAAATGATACAGGAGTAAAAACCATTAACATGTGCGTGTGTGTGTGGGGAGCTGCATATGTCTTTGGAAGGTGAAATGTAAGATGGTAGAACGAGATAGGTAGTTTAATCAACCTGGTGTGTCTTTTCTTATTAGGTTAATAAAACACAATAAGGGTAACTAGTTCAGAGCGCCTAATATTTTAGGGAGAGAGTGTAGGATAAATGCTGTGGTCTCCTACAGGTTTTACCAATGTAGCTGCATCAAAGATGGGGTTAGATTGATTTACCTCTTCACAATAAAGGGTCCCAAAAGTTGTTTATATAACTCTATATAGTTGTTTACATGGGTAAAAATAAAATCCCTTTGGATAAAATCATTTAAAATACACTACACGATATTGATTGTTGAGGACAGCTTAGGAAAAATTCTTTGTAGTGCAAAGCATCATTTGGTAAAGTAATCCACAGGGTCAACTTTACCTTTTCTGATTGTGAGATTTCCACTGTCTACAACATTTCTTTTCTTTTTTTATGAGGAAAATAGGTTTTGTTACTGTGTGCTGAAAACTACAGGAGCACAAATCAAAGCACGCACCAGAGTAGTCATCTCCAGCAGGTGACGGTTCTGAGCCGCACAGATGGCAACAGGCTGGCACAGGAGGCCACGACTAGACGCTCACAGCCACACCAGAGCAGCAGGGAATTCCTTCCCTGCCTTTCTGCCATCCTCAAGTGACTAGTCCAAAATCATACTGCTAATGGCTAAGATTACCATGTGGAATAATGCAAATGATAAAAGATGTTGGTGTCTTTGAGACCAGAGGTTTTGTGGATTTCTGGAAATAGCTTTTGTCAATTATCTGTCCTATAAATATCTTCTCTGAGTTTGTAACTTGACTTTACCTTGTTTGACACTGTCTTCCAACTTTTAAACTTTATATGTTAGAAACTCTGAAACATAAAGAAAACCAGAAAGGATAGCACAATAATTTTTTAAAATATGCAAAACTGATACGATTAAGGAATATGTGAAATTGATGCAGTACAGTAAAAATCCGTATGTCTCAAAATGAATGCAAATCACCACGCTAACTTACATATCATGCATTTCTCTTTGGTAAAGCTTTTCTGGTTTTTCCCTAGAAAATGCCTACAAATAACCACAAATCCAATAGCTGTGACTTTCTCAAGCAAAGAGATTGTGGTTTGTACAAACAACTTTTGTATAGGCTTAGTTTAACGGTGATAGAAGCAACTGGGAGCTTTGTGTGCTCTTAGGGTGCCAAGTTAACCCCCAACATCTGCCCACTTGCCAGACTCCTCACCTGGGCACCAGAAGTCCTGCTCAGCATTCTTCTCCCTCTGTGCTCCTAGATGTCCATTTTCTTCCAGTGAGAGGGTGCCCTTGGAGAGGGGCGGTGAGTGCCCCACCTTCCAGGTGAGGCCCCCGGAGCTCAGAGACACCAGGCCTCCGGGCTGCAGCCTCTCTGCCTTCAGTTCCTCGGGCTCCTCTGTGGAGTCGGTGCTCCAGGAGCTCAGGAGCCTCATCCGGGACACAGAGTTTATCTCTTTCATCCTCATCAAACGGTCAGGGGCCGCTCTCCTAGGGGGGGATGCCAGTTTCTCTTGTAAACTTTCAATCACTTTGGAAGTACTCCTGAACTTCTTTTCTGAACCTGTCATGCTTGGGGTCCTCTCTATAAAATGGAACAAAGTGGACCTGAATGGTGGCTTTGTCCCTGCATCTTCGTGATTAAAGGACTGGGGCTCTCGGGGTTTGGGCTGAGAGTCAAGGTCCGACACCCTACTGGGGCCGGCCCCATCCACACCTGGGTGCTTAGACACCTGGGGAGCCCGTCTCGCACTGTCCCGTTCCCCAACAAAGAGAGGGCTTTCAGTCCAGCCACACTTTCTTCTTCCGTAAAAGGCATCAGTGGACACCGTGGGGTCATCCAACTGGACTGGAGTGGACACTGGCTCCTCGCTGGGAGACTCCAGCCTTCCAGCACTTTCTTCAGGCTCAGAATACATCATCTGTCCCTGCCTCCTGGCGCCAGGAAGCAGGGACTCCACGGCCACCTCGATGCCCAGGATCCTCGCAGCCCTTGCTTGAAGGGACTCATTTGGGGGGATTTCCACCGCGCTCGCCCCACCCAGAGGCCCGTCTAGCCTCGCGGCACTCTGTTCTTCTTCTGGGGTCAGACCCACAGACCTCAAGTCTGGAGCTGAAAGTCCTCGGGGTTTGTCAGCGAGAGAGAGAGGGGCGGCCACCACCGTGGCCCTCGCCCCGCCACTATCAGCTTCCAGAGGGAGGGCTTTGCTCGGCTCCACAGAAGTTAGTGTTCCAGGGGCGTTCTGCTGCTCCCGCGACTCCCTCAGCTCAGCGGGATCAAACTGAGGGACTGGTCTGGTGTCACTTAATCTAGAAGAGGTCATTCTTTTCACAGGACCTGGGCTGACTGCTAGCTGGTTTATTCTCTTCTCAACCTCCTTTCCCTTCTCTGTAATCAAGTTTCCAGCTGCTAACAGCAATGATTCACCTCTGCTGCTTCCCATCTGCCAGGGGCCCGGGGGTTGATGACAGGAGGGCGGGTGGCCAGGCTTCTGCTCCTCACTCCAGCTCTCAGATTTACTCTTAATTCTTTCTGATCTGCACGCAGGTTCCTCTAGCACCAGCATCCTTGGTAGCTCCTCAGCTCTGGTCTCCTGGCTGTTTTCAATGAAGCCCAAATTCCTGGGGATCGGATGAACATGGCCTTCTTGCAGCCCTTCTGTTTCACTGTCCTCGTCGCTGCTGACACTGCTGCTATCACCACTCTCTTCTTCTTCCTGAAGTTCCTTGTTAAAACTTTCTAACTGGCTTATTAGATCCCAGGGACGACGGCTAACTGGCTTCAAGAGAAACTGACCAAACAGCTGTTTACTGTTGCATGGGCCTGTGGGTTCCCCCTTCACCACCTCATCCTTGGGCCCGGGGCTGGCTCTGGGCCCACGGCCATCCACACAGGGTTGACTCTGGCTGGATTTAGACACAGGTGCATGATTTATGGATGAGGGAGTCCGTGAGAAAGCACTGTTGCTGGACAGGTTGAGGGACATTTGGCCTTTTAGGTGATGAATATTTGGCCTCTGTTTTGGGTCGCTGGAAGCCAATGCCAGGTGCATCATTTGGGCTTCAGAGGCAGCAGGATCCAAAAATTTGGCAGCCAGCACTGTATTAGGTGAGCCTCCCAGCTTTGCCCCTGGAAGGGGTTGTGAAGTTTTGGAACCTTCGCTGAAACTGGTCTGTGTTTGCTGGTCCCTGTACTGGTGCTCTGGCCAGGAGCCAGAATACTTGAGTTCTCTGTGTTGTGTCGGGTGAATGGAACTGAGGTCATTTGTTTGTTTGTCTTCTTCTGGTTCCCCCAGACCTTGTTTTTGGAACTCTGTTACCCCACCCATGCTTCCTGTGAGGGCTTGCAGCTCCAGGTCAGTGGAAGACATGCTCAACAGACTGTGCTCCTGCAGAGCCCTGCTCTTATCAAGCCCATTCTTTTCATCAGCACTCTGCTTTAAGTCATTGTTGTTCGTATCTATCTCTGGCAGATGGGACTCTGATTTAACTGGGATGGAAACCAAGCAAAATATTGTCTCGTTCGTTTTTTTCTTTGAACTTTTCTTGGTCTGAAGCCCAGTTTCAAACTTTTTGAGCTTGGTTCGCGTTTCACAGGTACTCGCGGACTGGGGGTGCAGGGAGGCGGCCTGGCCCCCCACCTGACCATGCTGGCTGCCTCTCATGTCAGGCCACTGTCCTCTCGTGACACCAAAAGAATCTCTTTGGTCAGGAAAGCCACCATTTTCTCCGCCCCTGGGGACCTGGCTCCACAGCCACTGGGAGCTGGGGTCAGAGGTGGGGCCTCTCTTGCTGCCTGATGGGGCTCCCCGGCTTTGTGGGTTCAAAACAGCACCATAGGGGTGCAGGCTCCCAGGAGCTGGCTCTGAGGGAGTGACAGGACCAGAGTCGTACAGCTTATCATCCAGCTTTGTTTCCTCACAGAAACCCTGGGGCTGAGCTAGTTTGATATGTCGGATCCGTGGATCATCAAAGGGGATATACAGAACAGAGCCATCATATGCAGTGGGGGGTCGAGGCTGTGGAGGGACCCCATGAGGAGAGCGTGGGGCTACGCCATATTCATTCCCAGTTCTGAGGGAAACAGCAGGAAGCTGATTACTGGCACTGGCCTTCACCATTGGATGCTGCTGTTGACCGCGGCCACCACTCACCAGCCTGGGTGTGGCCTCCTCCAAGTAGGGGTTTGTGATGGGCTGGGGCGGTGACCTGTATGATGGTGGAGGCACATACATGGGAGGCTCCAAACCATAGTCGGACATGAAGAGCTCCTGCCTGGGGTCGCTGCTTTTGGTCATGTAAGAAGCACACGGGTCTGTCTGCAGACTGTCCAGAGAGTCACTATTCTCCACAGGCCCCCTGGAGTGCTGGTGGGCGTCATAAGGAGGTGGCTTGAGAGGTCGCCCGAACTTAGGCCGAGGGAAAGGAGCGGAAGAGCCATCCTTTTCCAGGTTCCTTGTGGACTCCAAATGTGGCGCACAATTTGGAGGGTAAAACGGCATTTTAGGAACACCCGGTAAATGTGCATCGTTTAATGGGATGGGAATTTCCATGCAACTCATGCTCTCAGGGACAAGAACTCTAGGTAATGACTGGGATTTCCCTTTGCTTTGGGACGTGAGCACTTGATCTCCTTGCACAAATGGATACAGATCTTGAAACAGTTTCTCCCCATCACCATCTGACATATGCCTTCCTAATTTCCTTGGCTGGTTCCAGCTTTCGAGACTTATATCCCTCCATTTGGCAGGACCCGCCATTCTCAGTTCATCTTCCCAAACTGCCTTCTTCATCACATTCTCTATCCTTCCTCCAACTTCCCAGGGGCCCTCCCGCATGTGCACAGGCAGACTGTGGGCCTGAGCCATCTTTCTGATCTCCACGTCTTCAAGCTCCTGAGGACCCAGCACACCATGGACCTCCGGGCCTCTTTTTCTCCAGTAGACTTGCTCGTGACCGGTCTGGGGCTGAGAGGTCCACACGAGCACAGGTTGACTATAAAACCTACAAAATAAGGAGGGACAATGTTAGACCAGGGGAGCAAACACAAAGAAGATCCAGTGCTTCTCTACTTCTGTGACATGTATTCCAAGTCAAGAAGAGGCCAGGACTTTTGAAAAATAGATTCCCAGACACAGTAATTGCTGATTGTTTAAAGAAAACACACCCCCTCCTTGGGGTTGGAAGACAGCCATGTGTTTTTCCATCATGGACCCAGGAGTGGCCGCAAGAGACTGCCCGCAAGAACATCAGGATATTGGTGGTACTTGCCAGATGTCAAGGTCCTTCTAACTTTGAAGTGTCCACGAGAACAAGGGTAAACCTGAAAGCAGTGTTTCTTTAGAGTGGTCTTGGACCCCTGCCACTCTAGTTCCCGCTCAGTCCAGACCACTGAGCCATCTCTGGGTGTGAATCTGGAAGCCTTCTTTTAGCAACATTCTATAGCACAGTCCTTAAACGTTGTAAGATGTAAGAATCACACAGAGGGTTGCTAAGGAACACACTGCTGGGAGTCAACCTAGTCTCTGCTTCACTAGGTCATGGTGGGGTCCATAATACGCACTGCTGACCTGTCCCCAGGTGATGTGGATCTGCTGTCCCAGCACCCCACTTTGAGAACCATCGTCGCCAGTGTAGTCAAGCACAACTGCACATTAGAGTCCAGAGAGAATGGCACAACCCCTCATGCCCAGGCAGTGTCCTGGCTCCACCACACTTGACTCATGAAGCAGGTGGGGGACCTGGCATTAGTCTTTGTCCAGGTTGCCTATTTCTTCCAATGTGTGGCTGAGACAGTGCCCAGCTCTTAGAGCTCCCACACCTCCCTGATAGGAAGAATCACTCACTAGGCACATTAAATACACATACTACCAAGTCTCTTCACCTGCAAGTTCATACTCAGACCAGATCTGGGTTACAGTTCAGGCATCTGTATTAACAAGTGCCTTATCGAGCTTTTCTTCTGGTGATATGGGGGATACTGTCAGGGAAAACTGATAAGAAGAGGGGTCTGCTCATGGGGCAAGGCTTCACCAAGGAGGAGTGGTAGACCAAATGCCAGCCGAGTCCCAGGGCGTTTGTTCTACCTTGCTGCACAAGAATATTCCTTGTAAGCCTTTGAAAGATACCAACACCCCCAAATATTTGCAACTGAATACCCATATATTTCAAATTCTCTTCAAATGTTTAAGTCTTAATTCAGAGTTTACAGTCATTGAAGCAGTTAAGAAATCATCTGACTACTATCACGTCGAAACGTGAAACTACTGCTATAAATGACCAAACACTATAAGACTGTCACAGAGAAAAACATAGCTGCAACTCAACTATTTTTTAATAATATAATAGTTTATTTTTACTTCATCTTGTGCTTTTTTCCATCTCAGTTGTAATCCCCGTGGGCTTCCTATCACCAAATCACCCATGTGCCATCACCATAGTCCAGTGCATTTCCCTCCCCCACTGTTTTTAATCCCATTTCCCATTCCACTCCCAGAAAATGTTTCTGGTATATAGTTGTTCATTATTATTATTATTATTTTCTCCCCTGGTCCTTTATACTCCTGCTATGGGTGAAACCATCCGGTATTTTTCCTTTTCTTTCTGGTTTATTTCATTAAGCATGATCTTTTCCAACTCCATCCATGTTGCTGCAAAAGGCATATGTTTATTTTTTTGGTTGCTGAGTAATATTCTATTGTGTATATGTACCACATCTTTTTAATCCAGTCATCGACTTCGGGGCATTTGGGTTGATTCCCTATCTTTCCTATTGTGAATAAAGCAGGTGTCTTTTTGAATCAGTCTTTTGGGTAGATACCTAGGAGTGGGGTTGCTGGGTCAAATGGAAGCTCCATATTTAGCAGTTGGAGAAACCTCCAAACAGTTTTCCATAGTAGTTGTACTAGTTTGCATTCCCACCAGCAGCGCAAGAGAATTCCTTTTTCTCCACATCCTTGCCAACATTTGTTGTGCAACTTAACTATTTTGATTAATCAGGGTCTAAGCAGAAAATATCCAACTCTAAAACTGCTTATTCTTAAGCTTAAATATGTATTGATTTGTATTTATACAAAATGTTTTTGATACCAGCTGCTATATAAAAATGGCTGCTTTTTAGATTATGCATGTTCTGTGTAGTCATTGTTGAGAATCTGGAAAAATATAAGAAAAACCAAAACTTAGTTGTAATCTTTCCACTCAGAGATAAATATTTTGATACTGATTTTGTGGGTTTGATATATACTTTATATATTTATGTGAGGACATAAATTGCCAAATAGGCGTAGTGTAGCGCCGGTATGGGGTTTCAGGTGACATACCCCAATGCCTGCAGTACAAAGAACAGCTGGTATCACAGGGGAGTTACTGCATTATGTGCCGGGTTCTCACTAAACGCTTTCTCTACACTAACTCATTTGATCTCCAGCATCCTTCTGCGGATCCAAAAAGTGAAATTCCCTTTACAGAGGTGAAAACTGAGCTTCAAAAGTGAAGCAGCTCACCCAACACTAACATTTCTGGTGAATGCAATGGGGGCATGGGGGGGGGAGGTGAGGAGGGTGTGCAAATCATGCCAGGTGAAATTTTCATTTAGAGTTTACAACCACTATTATTTCTTCCTTTTTACAGATAAAAGAACTGAGGCAGAGTGGGTTAAACAACTTCTGCAAATCACAAGGCTTGTTAGCTGGGAAAAAATTCAAACCCATTAAGTGTGACCATAAATCTCCCTCAGTTCATCACAGATTTTAACTTCTCCCAATGTAATGAAAGGTTTTTCAAGTGGATGTTTTTAATGGACATGACTGACTTCACCTCTTTGTAACTCTGTTGGACACCTACATAGATGACATTTGAAAACTCCCTGAGGAACATTATTGTTCACAAACACTAAGCACATCTCAGATTACCGAATAAACCCTTAGAAAGGGAATTAGCAGACTGTGGACAATTTGTTATCTATTCTGTCAAATCCAACCTCAGGTTAATCAAGCATTCCAATTTACACTACTACCAGCATGTAGAGATCATATGGGCCTGGCTGAACCTTTCCCATCCCTCATTATTATAATGCTTTTCCTAATGAAGTAAGTGAATATAATGTCTCATTGTTTTTCATTTGTATTTCTTTGATTAGTGGTAAAATTTTTTGCCCCAGACTCAAGTGTCATCAAAATGCATTTTGTGGAGTCAAATGATTTCCTCAACACAGTTCATGTGGCAGCTGAGAGCACGAAGAGTGTAGATGGTAAGGAATGCCCCTAGATCCCTAAGTCTGTTAAAAACAAACAAACAAACAAAAAACCCAGCATATAAATAAGTGGAATCAAAGTAACTGCCAGAAATTGGGCTGAAAAAAAACCAATTCTAACCTGCAGTTGTACAGGAGTCTGGGTGGTAAATAAAAGTAAAAGTGTATTATTATCTCATGATAGATTTATTTCTTTGCCCTAAGTGAAGGTAACTCTTCAACTGCTGGCTCTCGGCCTTTTAAGTAGCTATTTAAAGCAAAGTTGAAAAATGGGTTCAAAAAATAGAAACTATTTCAAAGCAATTAAGGTAAAATACTTGCCACAGGGCAGTGGACATGCTCCTGTGTTTACTACTCATACATTGTGCAAGTTGTCTTCACACAGGACATGGCCGGAGGTCACTCTCTTTGCTGCTTTTATTGTTATCAAATCATGTTTTGAGCTTTAAGGCTTTGAATGTTCAGCAGAGCATCCCTTGGGTCAGACTCTGTAAGGATTAGTTGTCATGGAAGTTGTCACCTCTGGCCCTTGCACATCTCCCCACCACCCCACTTCCAGGAGAACCTGCAAAGAGCCTGCCAGCTCTGAAGTCAACAGTATAGTCCCTGTGTGACAGCCCACCGTGAAAAAACACTGTGGAAGATGAACTATTTAAAAGCCCTCAGCAGTTACTGGCTATATAGGATCTCAGACTCTAATCAAAGCCAAGGGCAATACTTGGAAGTTGTAACTTAATGACAAGTTACATTCATCATAGACCCAATTAAGGAAATAAATCATGAGGAAATATGCAGCTGATGCCCCGCACCAGAGAGCACGGACTTTTTGTCTCTATTTCTTGGCAGATGGTGAGTAGGTTTTATTCCACAGACTTTAATTAGCACCATCTTACTCCTTGCTGTTCTATAAACATTTTCAGGGGTGCCTGCCTACAGGAAAAAACCACATGATAGGGCTTTTGCTCATTTTCTCAATGGATCTTCTGTTTTCTATTAAATGTATGTATGGTACGCTCAAATACCACAAGGTGGCTATATCTCCAAGGTGCTGTTTGTCTTGTAGATGCCATGAGCAGATTCAGAAGACAAATAAAAAAAGGCACAAATAGGACAAGAATGTAAACAGATTGCAACTACTTTCAGAAATAATGTGGTCCATTTTCTTCCCCCCTTGACAAATGTTTGTTGCACTCTCACCCTAACTTTGTAAAAGTTTTGTTTGCTAAACTTTGTTTAAACTAATCAAAATGCTTAAGCACTCCGGATTAAACTTTTTTCCTATGTACATAATACACCGATTTAAGGAAAGATGGGAAATTTAAAATCATCTATCTAAAATATAGTTCACACAACAGAAAAAACTATAAAGCACTTATTTACAAACTTCTCTTTTATTCTAAATGTGAGCCTGGTTCTGACAGGCACAAGCTGGACCCACGTGTTGACAGTTCTAGTGAACGTCTTCCCACCGAAGCGCACAGGTGTGGCTAATCGAACAGCTTCCGGAGATAGCAGCTATCATCAGCTGAAATATGCGCTACCTGCTGTGCCTTCAAAGCAAACAATTTGCTTTCCAATACCTTTGAGGAGTCCATTTCTTATTTTTTTTAAGGAGATTTTATTTATAATTTACATTTTTCAAAATGTGATCAATAGGATGTTTTACAAAAACATGCTACACCTATGAATAAAGGGTGGGGAACTGTCAGGACAGTGAAGTGGAATGCGGTAGCCCAAATCAATTGTGTTG